TTCCTCCCACCTCTCTCTCCCTCCCTCTACCACTCTTCCCTCCCTCCCTCTCTCCCTCATTCTCTCCATTCATTTCTTTCCTCCTCCCTCTCTCTCTCTCCCTCCCTCTACCTCTCTTCCTTCCCTCACTCTCTCCCTCATTCTCTCTCTGGAACACGAACAATGTAGTTTATCGGTCGTTTTAATATACGCCCCTCATTCTTGGATCAATAAATGAAGTCGTTAACCCAGGTACACATGAGGTTTTCACCTTTTTTCCTTTTATCTTTTTATTTCATATTATAGCGTAGGTTTGTTAGAGCCAGCGCTATGCTTATCATTAATCACAAGAGCCTAAGCCTCTTCAACACCAAAGAATGCAATTGTTCGGAGAAGAAACTGAAAGGTGTTTTTATGCTTTCTTTATTATTATTATTATTATTATTATTATTATTATTATTATTATTATTATTATTATTTAATAAAGGGATGTCACCGGTCAAAAAGTAGATAAGATGGTAACATCTATATAAGATCTATTTAAATCACCTCACTTCATCTTTTCCAGACGGATTCGACGGTTGCTCGGCTTGGCACTTGGTCAGTTCAGAATGCCTCACTTGCAGACCATATTAAACCACACATGTTGTCAAAGTTTCCTAATGATGATATCACTAACAAAATAAATGTTCCTACCGTATTTACCTAATATTAATGCGTTTACTCTAATAATTAGAGTAACGATTCTTAATATTATTATTTTAATTATGCTTTCTAATTCGTCACATTTTACTGTAATCATCAACATCATCATCATCATTTTTTATTATTATCATCATTATTATTATTATTATTATTATTATTATTATTATTATTATTATTTATTAGTAGTAGTAGTACTAATGGACCGTCACCAATCAGCGACTCTTAGTGCGAGCTCTGTTTTGAGTGAAAATGTTTGGTAACAGTCGCAATGAGGAACAAAGTGGGTTTCTCTTTTTATACGACATTGACAGGTAACGTCTAGTTATCTTTTTATATGTTTTTACACACACTGTGCAACAAAATACCACAGAAACTTCAGGGTAATGCATTGTTGCATGACTATCATATGAGAAGATAAAAGAGGTCACATCTACATAAGATCTATTTTCAACCACCCCTCCAACGGAGTGTGATTTCGTTTCGTTATAAATTCCAGTGTCACCTTCAGCTGCCTAGAGTCGTATTAAATACGGGCGGATCCAGAGATATTTTCTGACAGACTTCCAAATTATCTTTATTAATCCATCCTTCATTTTTGACCGTCTTCCGACAGAAAAAAATGAGATACCCGTCAATGTAAACTTGAAAATCTGACCGTCTTCCGGAAGACTCAGAAGACGGCCTCAATCCGCCCTTGTTATTTAATAAGTCTAAAGTTCGATCAGGAATTGGAGACGTGGATGATTATTTTTCTTCGTTACCAGCTGGGACCCAGACTACTTTCATGCACTGGATCAGTTACACACTTAGCATCAAATGGCTATCTGTCTGGTTTAGGATTATTCAGAACAGCGGACTAACAGATCCGCGGATCATATATGGCGACCCAGTTAAAAGCTTGCACGCTTTATTCCCGAGTAGACTGAAAAGATATCCCGCGGGGGATAACGCAACACGTGGCTCGGCCATATTTGATCCGCGGATCTGTTAGTCCGCTGTGCTGAATGCTCTCTATGCTGATGTATAAGTATCTGCCATAATCAATTATTTATATATTTCCATTTTCTTTATAAAAAAA